TAATCATGTCTTCCAATTTCCTCTCTTGTCTATTAGCCTTGTTTTCTTTTCTGCTCCCTCCAGGCTGTTCTAATACACAATGCTGTTGTCCCCCCTCCCCTTCGCACCTCTCCTCTCTATGTTTATTGCCGTTTGTTAAGGCATTTAGCCTAATCACCGTTGCACTCCCCTTTCTTTGGTTTGATGTCCGTATGTCAATATACCCGGGGATCACATTTTTAAAGTAATTTCGTATATATATATATACACACATATATACACACACACACATACATGTGTGTGTGTGTGTGTGTATGTATGTGTGTGTAGTATGACTAGGACTAGATCAGCCACAATAAAATGATGACCTTCCATAAAAAAAATTCTTGGATTGGTTGGCTTTTTGTGTAATATCATTTAATTTTTAATTGTAGAAAAATGAGCTTAAACTCCAGGCATCCATAGACAGGATTTATTTATTTCAGCCATTTTTATGCAGGTTTCTCAAATGTTCATAATGATTATAACTTCCTGCATCCTCAGAAACACTGTTCAAGTCTTAATGAAATAATCATGCAGGTGACAATTTCCTTATCTCTTCTCGGATTTGGGGAATCTTGGCCACAAAGCTTCTCCCTCTAGCTGTTGTCTGCATTGATGAAATAGACATTTAGTCTGACTTGACCTAATTTGCTGGGATGTAGTCCTACCTCCTGACTTAGAAGCTCAGATTCACTCTGCTCTGCCTTGGTTTGAGGTCACTGCCCTCCTATCTCTGACTCTGAGACTAACTTCTCACAACTTCTCTTAACTCTTAGCTTACAGGGGATGTTTCAAAAAGAGCCATTGCCTGTGTCCTGCAGGGAATGAAGTCGCAGGAACAACCAAAATCAATCCTCTTTTAAGAATGTATTTTTTTAAAACACTTAACACAAATCTTTTCCCTCAAACTTGCTTTCACTTAATGTCCCCAAAAGATTTTCTCCTCAAGAGAAAGTGAACAATTTTCTTTCCAAGATTTTAGGTTGACATAAGTGTATGTACGTGTGTGCATCTGTGTTTGTGCGTCTGTGTGTGTTCTTGCATGGGGCAGCGTGCTAATTGTTGACCAATGCATTTTGGGAAGTATCTGTGCTCTGATTTTCTTTCCCTTTCTTCTCCCTCCCTCCTTCCTTTTCAATTTGTCTAGGAAAGGGGGAAAAAAAGCGAGCCTTCCAGTGTTGTTTCCTGCAAAGACCATTCTTATGAGTCCATTGGACAGCGTGTGTGTGGGGGGGACTCATAGCTAATTGGCTAAAGAAAGGCTCTGATTGTCTGGAGGGGGCTCGAAAGTGCCGCATGCGCTTTTGAAAAGGAAGAGGGAGAAAGTGCCTGGTTTCGCTAAGCAGCTGCTGTTGGAGATGTTTGGAGATTACATCAGCACTGGAAGAAAAAAGAACTGGAAAAAAAAATTTCCAACTTCAGAGAGAGAGAGAGCGAACGAGTGTTTATGGAGCCCCCCCCATTTTTCCCCTTCCAAAGATCTTCTGACAATACTGTTATTGTCAATATAAGAGTTCTTAATTCTGTATGAATAGTGCATGGGGCCCCTTGATTAAATAGTGTGTTACATGTTCCAAATCTGTCAGCTGCACTCTTCTCTCACATGCTAGTGAGATCACTTGGAACGGAACCTTATAGGAACAGCTCCATTTGTCATACATCACCAAGTGGGGCAACATTATATAATTAGATCATCAGAAATAGTGATAGTGTTTTTTTTTAAAAGGTACAGTATATCATCCATCCCCAACCCCAGTGGCTTCTTCATTCTGGCTTCAGTATGGAATCAGGCCTTTTGATGACTGTGCTGATTTTGATTATATTAATGCGATTTATTTTATGGTCCTGCTTCAATGTTTATTTGGATTACAAACTGACACAAAGATTTCCTAAAAAAAGGAAGGACTCCTGAAAGGGTTTATATGCATTTTCAATGATCCAGTGACACCTTTTTGAATGATGTCGTAGAAGAAGATGAATTTTTATTTTTAAAATGGGTGATTTAACGTTCTCATTTTTTGTTTCAGTAGGATCAAATGCATGTGGCATTTTTTTTAAAGAGTTCTAGCCTTTAATGAGACACAAATTGCAAATTAGTTAAATTAAATGATATTCCTTGTAAAATAGTTCATGAACTTCTTGCTGGAACAAAATTGCAACCATTTGCTACTTAATTGCTTTAGTCTAGCCAAATGTGACTTTGTTGTTGAAAGTCTGGGCAGCCAATCAGAGAATTCCACAATGTTGACAAGTTA